AGGTACAACACGGAGCAGTTCTCGCCCTACGTGTCCCCGTGTCCCCCCATGTCCCCAGGTACAACACAGAGCAGTTCTCGCCCTACGTGTCCCCGTGTCCCCCCGTGTCCCCAGGTACAACACGGAGCAGTTCTCGCCCTATGTGTCCCCGTGTCCCCCCGTGTCCCCAGGTACAACACGGAGCAGTTCTCGCCCTATGCGGTGCCGTCGCCCCAGGGCTCCTACCAGCCCAGCCCCAGTCCCCAGAGCTACCACCAAGTGGCCCCCAGCCCGGTGGGCTACCAGAACACGCACTCGCCGGCCAGCTACCACCCCACGCCGTCACCCATGGCCTACCAGGTGGGGACACCGCGGGGACACCATGAGGACAGTGTGGGAACACTGAGGGGACACCGCGGGGACAGGGACACCACAGGGACAGGGGTGACAGCACAAGTCCCCTTGGGCTACCAGAACATGCATTCACCCATGGCCTACCAGATGGGGACAAGGACAGGGGACAGCAGGGATGGGAGGACAGCGGGGATGGGGATGGTGGAGGGGACAGTGCGAGACTGGGGACAGCACAGGGGACACCATGGAGCTCTGGGGGCCACCACCAGGGTCCAGGGGCCACCAGGACCCCTTCTTGGGCCACCAGGACCCCTTGGGGTCCTCATGACCCCTTGAGGGTCCCCAGGATCTCTTGGTGTCCGCATGACCCCTTGAGAGTCACCACGCTCCCTTGGGGTCCCCATGACCCCTTGAGGATCCCCAGGATCTCTTGGTGTCCCCAGGATCCCTTGAGGGTCCCCTGGATCCCTTGGGGTCTCCATGACCCCTTGAGGGTCCCCTGGATCCCTTGGGGTCCCCATGACCTCTTGAGGTCCCCAGGATCCCTTGGGGTCCCCATGGCCCCTCTGGGGTCCCCTGGCCCCTTGGGCCCCCCGGAGCCCCTGGGGTCACTTCGTGTCCCCCCCCAGGCCAGCCCCAGCCCCAGCCCCGTGGGCTACAGCCCCATGACGCCGGGGGCGCCGTCGCCGGGCGGCTACAACCCGCACACGCCCGGCTCGGGCATCGAGCAGAGCTCCGGAGACTGGGTCACCACCGACATCCAGGTGACCGTGCGGGACACCTACCCGGACAGCCAGGTGGCGGGACAGGCGGGCGTCATCCGCAGCGTCACGGTGAGCGTCACCCGCGGCGGGCGGCGGGCGAGACAGGCGGCGGTGCCGCTGACACCCGTCGCCCCCGTTCCGCAGGGCGGGATGTGCTCTGTGTACCTCAAGGACGGCGAGAAGGTGGTGAGCGTATCCAGCGAGCACCTGGAGCCCGTGACGCCCACCAAGAGCAACAAGGTGCCACCCCGTTCCACATGGATCCTGCCCCGATCCCCTGGGATCTGCCCCATTCTGCTTAGATCCCACCCCAGTGCCACTCCCATCCCGCCTGGATCCTGCCCTGATCCCATCGGGGCAGCTCCGCATCCGCTCAGTGCTGCTGAGTCCCCCTAGCCCTTGTGGATCCTTCTGGATCCCTTCATCCTTCTGAATCCCCTGGGATCCTCCCCAGCCCCTCTGGATCTCTCTGGGCCTTTCCTCCATCCCCATCCTTGTGGATCCCCTAGGATCCCCACCAACCCCTGTGGATTCCCCAGGATCCCTCCTAGTCCTTGTGGATCCTTCTAGATCCCCAAGGACCCCCCCCCGTGGATCCCTCTGGTTCCCCCATCCTTGTGGATCCCTTGGGATCTCCCCTGTCCTTGTGGATCCCTCTGGACCCCCCTCACACTGCGTGTGTCCCAGGTCAAGGTGATCCTGGGCGAGGACCGCGAGGCCACCGGGATCCTGCTCAGCATCGACGGCGAGGACGGAATCGTGCGCATGGACCTGGAGGAGCAGCTCAAGATCCTCAACCTGCGCTTCCTGGGCAAGCTGCTGGAGGCCTGAGGGGGTGCGGGGATCCAGCCGGGATCCCCCGGGAACCCCCCAAACTGCCAGGATCCCCCCGGGATCCCCAGGATCCCGCTGGGATCCCCCAGGAACCCTCCACACAGCCGGGATCCCCTCGAGATCCCCAGGATCCAGCTGGGATCACCGGGATCCCCCAGGAACCCTCCACACCACCGGGATCCCCTCGAGATCCCCAGAATCCAGCTGGGATCACCGGGATCCC